TACAGAACAGTGAGCAGGAGTTAGCTCTGATTTTCAGATGGAATTAGGAAGGGGCAGAGTTATCAATTATCTCTCAAGTGACTTATAAGCAACAACATACTCAGACAAACATACTCTTTGCAAGCTTATACCACAGATAATTAAAGTAAGAGATGCGGCACTAGAAAATATAACAAAAAAACAGAAGCGAGTGATAAAACAACAGTTGAACAGAAAATTTGTCAAAAGGATTACCTTCACTTGTCACTCTGTGCTTACGATGGCGCCTCTTACTGATTATGCCGGCGAAATGTTTGGGAATGTACCAAATCAATTGTCCAATGCTGGAAATCAAGAAGACTATGACAAAGGACACAGGACTATGTACTTTCCACAAGGTCACGTTAACGCTCCAACCAAGTTACCAAAACAAGATCGAACCAACACTAAAACGATGGAGCTCATAAGAAGCTTAGATAAGGGTTTTTGAAACATGTGACGACAGCACTGTCTCTAAGGCTAAAATTGCCTAAGCAACCATTAAGGAAATTGCAACTGCATAAGTATAAAAAGCTTGATATAGGAAATATACTAGTCTTAAAAAACGCGAGGTATATTCGAAATTTAAAAGACATTTTCTACCGGCAGTCGGCACAGGAGCTCCAGTCTTCATATTCAAAGAAGGTTTTCTGACCCCAGAATAAAATGCAGCAGTCTTGTCCCCGATTTGGTGACTGGTGGGTTGCTGTGGCAGGACGATATTTTGTTGCTGATGCAACTGCTGGCTATGTTGCGGAAGTCGGCGTGGGTTGTTGGCACACGCATTGGAACCTTGTCCCATTAAATGCGCTTTCCAGGCTTCTTCAATAGGACCCCCGGTAGTTCCAGACCCATTAGACGGGATTACTTCTTCATTCTGCTCAGGGATAGAATCTTCAGTGTTTGCCAATTTTATGCTAATGCCCGTACCAGATTCAGCGTTACCAGACGCTGATGATGATTGATTTACCATTGGAGACCCCCTTTTGGATACCGACCTATCGGCTAAATTGGCTTTCGGGCCTGGAGCATTGATATCCGTGTGACAAAGTGGACATCGAAGAATGGGATTGGTAGTAATCTGGCAGCTAGGTTGAGTGACTAAATGCGCAGCCAATTCAGTCTGCAGGAAGGCTTCACTGCAGCGCGGGCAACGTGCATAACCACCTCTTGAGCGACTAGCCTCACATTCTGATAAAAGATGTTCAGTTAGACCGGCGACTTCAACCACCTGGAAATGGAAAAGAAGAAAGGCTTAAAATAGCTCAATAAATCTGGATAAAGTAATTTATCAATGAAAAATAAGGCTTGACAATATAAATTGGATGCCCGAACATTATAAGGAGAAATAGAATACATTTTACGTTACATTCCAATATATCTCCTACAAATGAGGGATAACACTATTTATTCAATAGTATGAAATTGTTGATTCAATGAATAAGGAAAGAAACAGACTCACACACGGCACTCCAGAAACTAGTGTAGATCTTTGAAAAAGAAGACGTCCTGAAAACTGAGCGAATCTAACCCGAGTAATTAACCTAACAACAAGAAATACCTATTTCATGGAAGAGAAAATATAAACGAATTTCTGATCTTCTTAAACGAAATGGATGAAAACGTCAAATTCACCATATATGTGAAGGTCACTCGCTCCAAGGAAACTATCAATAAAAGATATGTAGAAAAACTATGTTCAGAAGAATCACTTAATATATTCATGCGGGAGTAACATTCATTTCGTTTGAAGAGGCGAGTGGAAGGGATTCGCAAATTGGTTCCACCGTAGGCTGTAGGGGGGTTGCCTTGGCCTTGTGGTTGCAGATTTGTGCACACCGCTCTGTGACTCCGATGAATCCTTGCTGAGATATAGTCCGTCATGTGATGGACATCATCAGAGCAGGACACCATGGTTGACGATAATTCATCAAAAATTCTAAAGCAAGATAAGTGGCCAGCTTCGAATCTATATTCCAATTTGGTCCACTTATGCTTCTCACGTTTGTGTTGGATTTCATATGCTTGGCATCATAAGTTAAGCTGGGTGGCTGCGGATGACATGTGAAGTGGCTACAGATGAAGCGTGAAATAGGTGCATTTGAAACCGAACAGCTGCATCCTCCCCTAAAACACTTATGTCTTTCATCCTGCAATCTTACCGCATGTGATTGCGTCCCATTGCACACGTGTTGTGTGAGTTCATTGCTCTTAAAATGAGTGTGATTTGGAATTCAAAACTAAATTACAGCCTGACCAAGCCTTCATTCTCTTGCTCAGCGATGCTTCTCGTTCTAATCCTCATCTCTCTCTATTCATATCCAGCTAAGCGTTTGGCGTGTCATAAGCAAGCCATGTAATCTTCTTCGACAGATTATACGATGGCAGCATAAGGATCCTGGTAGAGTGATCTATCTTGTTATCTGGCCCCAAATATGTATTTCCATTCATTCTATTTGACAATATTCTTCTTCGATAGATTACACGATGGCAGCATAAGGGCCTACTCTCACTAGACCAACATGCGGAGATTTTAATGAGTATGAAAGTAAGTAAAAGGTCAATAATGGTACTGATCAACCTAGGGATTTACTATACATATTTTAGCTTTAATGGTCAATATATGGACTACTATGCTATTTAGCAACGTGAAACAAATCTGGATAACTTTCTTGATTTAAAGAACATGATCGATAGGAAAAATGAATGGAAATACATATTTGGGGCTAGATAACAAGATAGATCACTCTACCAGGATCCTTATGCTGCCATCGTGTTATCTGTCGAAGAAGATAGGCGAATAACTGAGGTGGGATATCAGGACTATTCCTCGATATGGCCTTCCTTTCGGAAATACTCTGACCCGCTCTCCAGATGGAGCTGTTACTAAATATCGTGTTCCTGTGGTCGTGCCTATGTGAGCTAGACCTGTAGACCCAGAGATACGAGGTTATCTGAGCACAAAGCAGCCTGCAAGGGTATGTGGGTCCAAAAATCGTAATTGGCCGAACTCATGGCTCGCATAGGACACCAGATAGGTTGGTCTAATGCCAAACGCTTAGCTGGATATGGAGACTATAACAACCAGTTAGCGAAATATTAGGAAGGCGATAAAAAGCTGGAGAACAATCAACACTTTGAATAGAAAAAAATGAATGTATGAAGTTAAGCGGAAACTACTTGTGGCTGTTGGATAGATTTAGAGGGAAGGGGGGAGGAGAACGATAAGTACCCCCGAGCAGGAGGCTTGATTAAGCTGGAATTTGGTTTTGAATCTCACATCACACTCATTTCAAGAGCAATGCACTCACACAACACGTGTACAATGGGACGTAATCACATGCGGTTAAATTGTAGGATCAAAGTCATAGGTGATTTAGGGGAGGATGCAGCTGTTTGACTTTGATTTCACCCATTTCACGCTTCACATTTAGCCACTTCACACGTCATCCACAACCACTTAGCTTAACTTATGGGGCAAAGCATAGGACATTCAACAAAAACATAAGCAAAGTGGACCAAATTGGAATATAAGAAGGAAGGAAGTTTAAAGCCAGCCACCTATCTTGCCTTCGTGTTTTTGGTGAATTATCGTCAACCATGGTGTCCTGCTCTGACGATGTCCGTCACATGACGGACGAAAGCTCAGCAGAGCGGTGCACCGAGGACCTATTCGCACAAATCTACAACCACAGCGCCAAGGCAACCCCCCTACTGCCTCCGTTGAAACCAATTTACGAATCAATACAACTCACCTCTTCAAACGAAATGAAAGGCACTCCAATAATAGACTTTCCCGAAAGAAATCGCATGGTGGAATAACTCTTTACTTCCAGTCGAACCCTACATATGAGATGAATATTGGAATGCTACTAGGAATAGTCATAAAAGGCCCAAAATTGACTGATTCTGACTTCTAGTAAAAACAATTAAGAAAAAAACTCATGTTTCTTGGAAACGGATATCCACATGCATTACAACGTAACATGCGGATGGTAATCAACAAATGGAAGGACAGAGATGAGAGGAAGGCAATAGGAGCAGATGAAAAATGATGGATATGTCTACCCTCCTGCGAATTTGCTCGGAGCTACTGACCATACTCGGGAAATGGAAAATTAATACAATCCTGAAAGAAAGGACAACCATCTTCACCAGCTTACAATATGAAGAGATCAAGAAAATGGAGTGCTCTGAAGTTTACAGCACAAACTAAAAGGACTGTAAACAAAAATACATTGGCTAATCAACACAAGTTTCAAAGAACATCAGCAATTATGTTGAAAAATGGATACGGAATGATCGGAGATAGCAGAACACATCGCCCTTGTCGGTAAACAATTGATTGGAGTGCAACGGAGACTGGCCTTATATGAGGAGGATGTGATATGGAAAATGCCTGACATTCCTTAAAATTCGTATCTGCCCAAGTACAGTCGTGGCAATGTGGCGTAGTGGTTAACGTGTCAAGCATACACGCTGCATTATTATGGTTTGACTTTCTGTGGGGGAGTAGACAAGACCTATGTGAAGTCGAAACTGCGGTCCACTCTGGATGTGAAACTCAATATAAAACATTAGCTCCATTCATATAATTATGGTAAAATTCAACTACCACCATCTCCCTTAAACAAAATAGGGTGAAAATAACTCATATATTTGATTTACTGATAGTTTCGAAAACTAACTTATTCACGAAAAAAGTTATTTTGATGGTTAGTAAGCGACGAAATAACAAGCTGGACAAAAGAGGGGCTCATCGAAAATCATAAGCCCGTAGAAGGCACCTGGTGTTGGTGATGAAGACGATTAAGTAGATATGAAGACCAAGATGGTGTGGCCTTATGTTTAGACGCAGACGATGATTACGCCTCACTAAATCTACTTGTTGCGACACACTATTAAGCGACATAGGAAGAAACGAGAGCATAGAATTGTGTGAATAGGTAGATGGGCCATATGAAATGAGGTTGAGAAAGAGAGACGCTGCACTAGAAGTTATAACAAAAAATAGAGGCGAAGAGTGATGCCACAACGATTGAACAGAAAATTGATCAAGAGGATTGCCTTCACTTGTAAATTTGACAAGTTGTTACTCTGTGCTAACGATAGCGCCGCTCATTGTCGATGCCGGCGAAATGTTTGAGAATGTACAGATTTAATAATCCGATTCTGAAAAATCATGAATACAAAGGCAGATGACACAGGACTAGGCAAGTTCCACAAGGTCCCCCTGAGGTTCCGACCAAGTTGCGAAAACAAGGTCGAATGAACTATATAGAGCTACAGAAGACTGCGAAAAAAGGTCACGCCATCTTCTATTTTGTATCTATGATAGAAACAGAACGTCTGGGAAGGTAGCCTGTGAAATGGACTTAGATGAATGAGTCAAAATTAGACAGTGTGTGAAGAGGAAGCTTTAAAAATCCTATATAATGAGACGATCATGTGTCCAATAATAAATTGCTTGGGGCTTAACCTTTCAACTGGATTATCCATAATGCAGAAGAGTACAAGATACAAAAAAGAAAAAAATGTTATGAAAACAA